CTCTTTCCAAATTCTTAAGTGGTTTCAAAGGGTGTTTTAACGTTGCCAGCAAGGCCTTTTCTCCTTGCTCTTGCTGCATACAGATGGTGCACAAGAATGTCTTTGACAATATTTTAAAGCCACTGTGAATAACCATTCTTGTGACATGAATAAAGCAATGGCTTGTTTGCTGAACAGCTGAGGCTACAGTGTTCTTTGCGGGGCTAAGAGGAGGAGGGGGGGGGAAAACAGAGAAGAAAAGGCTACCATTAGGTAAATGGCAAGTCCACTCCCACTGTCTGGAAGTGACATCACCTCCTTTGAAACGGTGCCCTAGAAATCGGGTTTTCGGGGAAAGAGCACCCCACCAAATGGTAGACACGTTAGTGTTACAGAATGATTAGTGTTTAATCCCCCAAAGAAGCACAGTCGTTACAGCAAGATGGAGAAGTGAATGGTAGAACACTTATTGCACAGCTTGCAAGGAAATGGATTTAAAGCTTTGTCTGGGTTTTATCTAGCCTAAGTTTTAATGCCACTGAGAACAGTATGAAGGGAAATAGGGAGGGGGTGGTGGTGGTGGTGGTGGTTGAAAGCGAGAGGGCTGTGAAAAGAGAATGTGAGAGAGGCAGAAGAAAAAGAAATAAAGAAAAGTAGGGAGGCAGAAGGTGCCCAAGAGAATAACATTTAGGGATTTTTTTTTAAAAAAAACCAACAAAACTCTGGGATGCCAAAAACGACAGACGATTGATTTTTTTTAACCTGAGAATATTCTCATCATGAGCTGCCAAAAATAAAATCTAAACAGTGAAAAAGTGAATGATTAATCATAACTGATAATTAAAAATAAAAGAATGTTTGTAATACTTTAAAGGAACGGCCTATGCCACAGATCCTTCTGAAGATGTTTTGCAGAGAAAAATTAAGCTGGTAGATTGGGATATGTATGCAAGCTGTTTCGTCGGCCATCAAGGCAAGAAAGAAAAGGGTTCAAACTGTTACTGACTATTTAGGCCAGGGGTAGGCAACCTTGGCTCTTTTATGACTCCTGCCCCTGATTTAGGCCAATGTAGGGAACAACAATCTTGGAGCCCAATTTGGCCAATATGCAACAACATTGGCCTTCCTTTCCCCTTATTCTCCCCTTTAGGAGAGGGCATGCTTGACATTTGAAAAGGATGGCAACCCAGCTCTATTCACCGAGACTCACAAAATTCTAGATAATTGAGTGAAGGATTGAAGGGTACATAGACTAGGGCCATTCAAAGAATTGATGGATTATCTTCCCTGAAAGTGTTCACAGACCTCTTCTATGTTGTATTGGCTAAGACCATAGATCCCACAAGACATTCCTTCCTGTTTTGAAATTAAAACATATAGTCAGGTTAAGATGAAATGCTTGAAAAAAATGTCTGTTTCACTGTTCGGGAGCCAGCTTCTCAGATACAGATAAACGGTTCTAGCAAAGATGCAATCCACCCAAATCACTTTTATATCCTTTCAGAGTCCTGATAGAGCAAAATGTAGACCTTAAAAAAAATATTTGAGGGGTTCAAGGCATTTTAACTGAACCATTATCCTTGCAGATATATGAGGAAACCACTGTTCTGTCCCCGTCCGACCCACACACCCAAACAGCCAGCCGAGGGTTAAAGACTTCTCCAGACACCACTTCACAGATAAGAAACTTGGCAGCAGCTCCATAGCTGCCTGCCAAGACCTTTTACTCCAAGCACACAGAAACAAAAACAATACACACAGTTTAAAGCCACAGCAAACTACTTCGCCAGAGATTCAGCTTTTGTCCGTCACAGAGGTCCAAATGGCCACCACCACCCTTTTATAGCCTGTGGGGTGTGGTCCAGTGACTCAGCTTAATCTCTGGCACGTCTCCTTTTCTGCTGCGCACGCTTGTCGCTCCTACGCTGGCGTGGATCCAGCCACAACTTCTCTTCCTCACTATCCGACACACTGGCTCCTGGTCAATCTCAGAAACACCTGGCTCCTGGCCAATCTCAGAAACACCCAGCTCCTGGTCAATCTCTTCTCCGTCGGGAGACACCTGAGGCATTGCCAAAGAGGAGGGTCCTGGAGAGGGAGGCCTGGCCATCTCCTCTCCTTCATGTTCAGAGCCTTCTTCCTCCGATAAGAGGGGCTCACAAGACGGAGCCACAACAACCACTTTAATTCTTTAAAATACCTGAAACCTGCACTCTAACTGAGGCTTCTTCCAAGACTTTGCTATCTTTGGCTCTGGGTGGTGTTGCGTTACACCAAAGATACCCAGTGTACAATCTGGGGGGTCCTCCTGCTTAACGAGCAGGTGGCAGTTGTGGCTAGAAGAGCCTTTGCACAGCCTCGTCTGGTGCACCAGTTGTGTCTGTTCCTGAATTGGCAGGTCCTATTTTCAGTCATTTATGCCCTGGTCACCTCCAAATTGAACTACTGCAATGCGCTGTGCTTGGGGCTGCCTTTGACAAGTATTTGGAAGTTTCAGCTAGTACAGAATAAGTGGTGCAGGCAGTTATATGCACTCCTAGAGCAGTGCATATTGCACCCCTGCTCTGCGAGCAGTCTAACTCCTGCATTTTGCATTAAATGCAACTTCTGGACACTTATCATGGGTCATTAGCCAGAGTTAAGGCATAGTAAAGACAACAATATTTAGGTGAAGCCTGTAAAGTGTACTTGATACAATTTATATTGAAACTGTCTATCAGTTCAGCCTTTTAGATATGTGGATGTTAACTCTCCAAATTTTACAGTCACTATTAGCATTGCAAAAAAAAGAAGAAATAAATTCCACATATTTAGATAGGAGAAGGTTTTCAAACTCATACAGGCTTCTTTTTGAAGATGCCACAAATGGAATTAGTTTTGCACTTCAGAAGCATCACAATATGGTCAAGCTATCACACTAGGGTTATATCATAATGCTTTAGAATAATGAAAGAAAATTGTGGCAAGGGATACGTGATATAAGAGAAGACTATATCTATTCAAGCAAACCGTACAATTCCACCATTCAAATCATTTTTGTTCACCTCTTTAGCATAAATGTCTGAACGCATATAAATATGTAGTGATTTCACATTCATCAAAACATCCGCAACTATTGTAAAAACATCGGACAATTTTCAATTTTTTTCTTGGTCATTTTCACTGGTTTTTCTGTATTTCTTTTTATTTCTGCAAGACTCTGCAATGCCCTTTTAACCAGGGACCTCTCCTCTTTTAATTGGTAATAGTTCATATTAAAAAAAACAAACATATCAAACACCCAGAATTTTATATAAAGGGACTTACCTTTAAAGATTCCCATACAGGAAACTGGACAAGAGAGAAAGGAATCTGTAGTTCAAGAAAGAAAAAGAAAAATGAGATGTATGATTAAGTTGGATACAGTTAGCTAACTAAATTAGGAAAAAATATTCACTCAATGGAACTTTGGCTTCTTAAAATGATAAATCTCAGAGTATTATATCATACACAAGGCTGAACCTTTGACTTATTGTCAAGTATTATAGCCAGGGTGGGCTCCGATAGTCAGAACTGGCACTACCAAGTATGGTGAACTTTAAGGACTTAAAGCCTAGAAAAATAATACAGAGAATAGCCTAGAAGGTACACGCAGAAACTTATTGCCAAAGAGCTGCCTGCTCACCTTTGCAGCTCAGTAAAGACATTGAACTGAAGACTCAGCTATTTACACAAGGAAGCGCAGTTCAATACTGACCACTGGAAACAGAGTTCTCTAACTCATCAATCCCTTGGGAACTCAAACTATCAATGCAAGTAACCATATCTCCAAAGGGTTGCCATCTATCCTTTGCAAACAGTCCTATGCTGAAAAAAGCCTAAACACTGCTGTTCCACTTGTTTTCAACACAAATGAATAAATATTTAGACCAAGAGACTGGTTGTAACCATTTTTGGCTAACTAGACATATCAAAAAGAAAGCCAGAACTTTGAAGACCATTCTTGTTAGGACACCTTAAGGCAGAAGTCCCCAACCGGTTATGTGGAGAGAGGTTTTTCCGCGGACCAGAGGGGGCGTGGTTTTGTGTGCTGCCTGCATCCTGCAGATGGGACTTTGCTTGTTTGTGCGGACCGGTTGCTGGCATGCCACGGACCGGTATTGGTCCACGGACCAGGGGTTGAGGACCCCTGCCTTAAGGCACACAAACAGATTTCCTCTCCACACATATATATGCTGATCTAAGGGGAAAAGACTAGTCATGAAGCTGTTCTTCCCAACTAAAGGGAGGTTTTGCTCTGTCCTTAATACAAAAATGCAAGGAGTAATTTTAATTTATTTTTATGTAATGTATTCATATATTTATACCCTGCCTTTATTATTTTCACAAATAACTCAAGATGGCGAACATATTCAACACACCTTCCTCCTCCTATTATCCACACAGCATGTGATGTGATGTGATTTGGACTGAGAGAGGGGGACTGCTCAAAGTCATCCAGATGGCTTTCATAGCTAAGGAGGGACTTGAACTCACTGCCTCTTGCTTTTTAGCCTGGTACCTTGACCATTAGACCACTTAACCGATAGACCTGAAATTTCTCCAATAAGCACTATACAGTCGTTATAGTTACAGCAAATGCACAGTCATTT